ATGGGAATTTTGACTTGGCAGAGCAATAGCTTCTCCAACAAAGTCCTTCCTCTTCTCAGGTGAATCATGGGGAATATTTGGCAATAGGCAGCATCATAAAGTGGCTATAAATCAAGGGAGACAATGTCCTGTAGGAAGAAGGAAGAGCAGGCAAGAATGTAGAGATAAAAATCCTTTAAAAAGTCACAACTAACAAAAATTGTGACTCATGCTGGAAAAATTCTTGCTATGAAAAACGTTATCTACAAACTGTCTCCCATTTCCTACGGAAATATTGAAAAAGCAAACTATTTTAAGCCCTGACACATCTTGGAAAATAGGATGGGGGGGAGGTTGTGGAAAAATTCATCCGTTTTGACCTTCCACATCACAGAAGGTTGCAAGCGCTGGACCTAGGATACACACCACAATCCTTTCACCCTCTCTACTCCCTGAGAGTCACTTTTTAACAAGATGCACATATTTGTGTCCAGAAAGTAGCCCTCTGCCACCACAGGGGCTGATATTTAAAAGTCTAAATCAGTTAAGGTCAAGGATGGATACTCTGGTGCAGAAGCTTCTAATTGCCAATACCCAGGTGGCAAGATTTGTCTTTGCTTTGTCTTTTGAAGGCTAGTTCCTTGCCAGAATGAGACTTTCTATATATGTACAACACAGGGCGAGGGGCAGTTTTTTGTTGCTTCAAATCTTTTTTTTTTTTTTTTTCTTAAATTCTATAAAAATCTCCCTCCGGTTCTTCAGAAGATCACTGGGGAGGGAAAGGTCAGCCATAATGGGTAGCTGGCTATAAATGCAGATGCACAGTACACTTCTTAGTTATTTTGAGTGGCCTCTGCAAACATGCTCAGCACTGACCTAATAGCATCCCCATTTTAACTCTGTGAAAGCCCACGCCTTTGTTTAGGGCCACAAAGCAAAAATGCTTGGAGGACTGGAGGGACCAGCGGTCTCTCTTAAGACTCACCCCAGGACCCCACCAGTTTTGCAAGGAGAGCTGGGTTTGAAGGACAAAAGAGGGGGAACTGCTCTGGCGCAGTGGTGCTCCTTTCCAGGTTGACACAAACCTGGCTTCCTACCTTGGCTTAGAGGAAGAAAGAGGCTGATGCCACAACGACCACTGTGGCACCTTACTGCTCCTTGCAAGACAGAGCGCAAAGATCTTCGTGACTGGCGTTGTCTGACATAGACTGTAAAACAAAAGTCTGTAATGATTTTAGATTAATATAGACTTCAATTAGGAGGAACAATGCCACGCGGCATCGAATTCAAGCATTGCTAGGAAAGCAAAATTTATAGCCTTGCTCTATCTCTAAAATGCATTGCGCTTTCGAGAAGAAAACATAATCCTAACAAAACAAAGATAACAACAGCTCCGTGTTCTTTAATTCAGTGCTTGTAGCTGTTTTAATAATAGATTTTCAATCCTCCTCTTTTGCTGAGACAACTACGGTCTGATTTAGTGAATCTCTTTGATTTGTAATCCTTATCATTATATTATTAATATGCCCTTGATACAAAGAGTGGGATAACTTAAAAAAGTGATCAGCTATTTTGCTTGGTGGCATATATGACCTTGGGTAGAGGACGCATTATTTACAGGAAGAGTTTTCCCGGGCATCTGCAAGTAAATCAGCTCTGAAACGCAGCTTAATTGTTTAGGGCAAAGTGCATTTAGTTTCAAATTCCCAGGAACCTCCAGCTTCAGACGCAAAGCGCATTTCCACAGATGGACGCTGGCATGTGGAAATGCCACCGTGACTACCGTTCAGCTGACCTTTGGTTTAGGGCCAGCTGCTAACGGGAAATGCCAAGCTGTTATTTACATTCATTCAAAAGAAGTGAGAAAACTGCAGGGATACTTGAAAGCAAAAAAAAGGGGAAGAGGTGTGGAAACTTCTGCCTCTGGGGACCTAGCAAAAAATCAAAAGCCTGCAGAGCCCAGCAAACTTCTGGGTCCTACTGCTGGGAAATTACTTTCCGAGCTGCCGAGAGCAGGGGGACATCCCCTTCTCACCGCAGGACTGATCCCAAGCTCCTGCTCGCTTCAGCCCGGCATTTGGGAGGATAGGCACAGAGATGCCGTAGAGCATCCTAGGGATTAATATCCCAATTCTGAGGTGCCCAGGGCCTCCCAGGGAGCCTGGGAGCAGCATGGAGCCAGCAAATAAGGAGCCTGTTTGCAGGAGCTGGCCAGGCTATGTCCTCACTGCTGCAGGGCAAGGGTTTTTTTTTCCTTAGCTTTGCTGCTGTTCCATACCTGCTCTCCTACATGAGCAGGAAAGACAGAGCCTGGGCTTTGCAAAGCTTGCTTGGCATGGAAAGCAGTGGTGATTCCAGCTGGAGTAACTCCTGGAGTTCAACATGTCTATTTTTCTAAAAGCAAGTATGGGAAAGAATTAGGAAAGGAAATTTAACCCCCCGAAACCAGGCACTGGAACAACATAACCACTCCAAAGATACAGGGAGTGTATCTTCCAGAAACAGGTTAATGGCTTCAGAAAGGGATTATCCCATGACTTGGAACGTGTTTATCGTCCCCGCAGTGTCACAGCAGGAGAGTCACTCCACAAATTGTCTCAAAATCACATCCAAGGCAAAGCAGCATGACTGACACATTTCAACAGGGTTTCTGCTTCTTCCAAACAGAAGCAATTTTTTTGTTTTGCTTTATTTAATTTCAAATTGGCTTTCAGATTTCTGGGCTTCTGGGGTTTATTTTTCTGTTCTCACAAGTCACTCAACGCACTAGATGGGCTTCAAAATTCATGGGAACTCAGTGGCCAAGAAGCTCTGTGGTTCTGAGGCCAATTCTCTAATGATGGACCAAGATTTGGTGCTGGAGGCTTCTCCACCACATCCAGTTGAGGGACTGGGTTCTTCCCAGTTTAGGGGAAAGGTTGAAAAGATAAAAACGGACGAAGAGCTCAGCTCCTTGTGCCTGCCCCATCCCGTATGTCCAGTGTGGCACCATGGAGAAGCTCCTGGGAACCTGCAGCTGCCCCAGGGTCCACAGGGACAGGTGTGAGTATGGGGTAGGAGGATTAAGACAGCGGCAGAAGCAGTGATAAAACTCTAGCCAAAAGCAGAGAAGGGCTTTTATAAACATGCCAAGAGATAACGAGCCAAGAGGAAGCTCATCCTGGAAAGCCCATTAGAGCAATGGAGAGAAAGACAAAACTAATGAGAATTGCTGACAAATGGCTCAGGCTTTGCAACCGCTTGCTTGGACCAGAGAAGGCAGCAGTAAAAAGGAGACCTGCAAAGGGCACATCCTCCCCAAAGCGGTCCAGAGCGCTTGTCAGCAACCGTGGGAAGAGCAAAAGCTGCTGGCTGCCACAGAGCTGCAATTCCTTACGGTCACAGAGGGATATATGTCCCTCCACCCGCGATTCACTCCCCCAGGCTCCTCCTTGCAGAGGCACCAGGCGACATCCACAGCCTCCCCACGGCCACGCGTGCATCCTCCGGTTTGCATCGACGCCAGCACGCATCCAGGCTGGGGGAGGCCAAGGTCCGCATCTCCCCGCTCCGTTCAAGGAGGGGTTTGACTCAAAACCTCCAGCCTTTAAGGAGAGACTTGAACTCCTGCCTACAGTGTTCAGCGACAAGTCTTTTTGGCTTGTCGCCATTCAGCCACCCCCGCCAGGCCACTGCGTGCTTCTCATGCAGACAGGAGCATTTACCTTCCCATTTTTAAGCCCAAGAAGTCACTCAAAGCAGACGACAGGAGCTCGAACGGCTGAGCTGGAAGAGACTGTCAGTCTCTGACCTTGAGTGGAGAGGAGTCTGGCAGCACACTTACCTTTCAAGGCAGGAAATAACTGTGTCCGTCCGTGGACGCCTTATGCCTGGGGACAGAGCTGCTCAGCCTGGCTGGATTTCACCGCGCCATGTTCGCAGACTGATACCCTGCCCCCTCTGGGAAATAAGACCCTCGGCCAATACGTTCAGTTATCAGCGCAGTTCCTCTGCAAGTATCTTGTAACTAATTACTTTTAACACTTACAACACCCCGTAATTTACAGCCACCTTGCTAGACCCGAGCTTAAGACAGACCTGTATCAAGAAAGCAACAGTGGGTTGATGGGTACTTTAGAAGCATAAATGTTTACCTTGCACTGAAAACAAATTCAGCCTTATCAATAGATGCATCTCACATTGCTTTGCATGAAGGATGCTGCATTGTTTGACTATTGCCATTAAAAAAAAGTACTAACACACGTGTAGTGTAAAAAAAAAAGTGCCTTGTGTGCTGGCTGCTACACAAATTTAGTGCTGCAGTATGAACTGAACCTGACACAAGCCAGATTTTCCCTCAATACCACAATCCCTTGTTCACCAACAAGTTCCATCAACTTCCATTAGAGTTGTCAAAGATTGGTACAGCCCAGGCTTTCATCACTTGCCTATGTTTAAGCACATGAGAAGTCGATGGGATTGCTTGATGGTTTGAAGCTGCGTGTCTCCCTCGTGGGGGGAGCTCTCTGTATAATTTACTAGCACGTGGGGAACACATTAGTGTCCTACATGTGAAAAATGAAATCCAGACCTGACCAAAACTTGGTGTGTTTGGCCATTCAGATGGGTTTCTTCTCTTTTTCTTTGGAAATGTTTTCCTGAAGTCAAGCTTTCTCTGCAACCAAAGCCCATTGCGAGCTCTGAGTGCAAACATATGGGCTTCAGGATATTTTACCTATAATAACATGTTCTGCTTATTTTTAAAGGGATGTGAAAACACTCCTTTGAGAATCAAGTGGAATAATCAGGGCCAGTCTATACAGCGATGAAAATCATTGAGAAGTGAACTACATCTGTGAGCGAGCCTTTGCCATTCCTGCCTGTCCAAACAGATCAATCAGCCCACCCTCATGCTGTTTTACAGCACTACCGCTCGACAGCTTCACTCACGTGCTGCTTTTGCCTAAACTGCGCTATCAGCTGGTCAGATAAAAGTTATTACAAAAGTTGGAGAAGTATAAATACACAGCTTCTCCTCTTACCTTCCGCTGAGAAGGAAACCAATAACAACAGCCAGCAGAATGACTCCCACTGTTACAGACACAACAATTATAGGAATCTGGCTCTGGTCGCTGGATGCAGCTACTGCTGAGATGAGAAACAGAAAATGGAGATTAAGGTTAAAATGATAGTCAGCACTCACACGAGTCTTTCTAGTGAGGCTGCCAGCAAGCTTTCAAGTCTTACCAGTTCGTTTCTTCTTCTACAGTTTGTGTTTTCCCCCTTTGCTGTCTGTTTCTAGTTTGGAAAGGAAACGGGTGGAAAGAAACCAAAAACACATGCAAAACCAAGCCAAAAACCCAACAAAATCACATCTCATCGCTGAATTCAGAAACCAAAGTGTTGCAGAACGCAGCCTTTGAGTTTGTAAACTCAAGTTTTGTCTTCCTCAGTTAGCTGCATTAGGAATCACAGAGATAAAAGATGAAAACCCAACGGGTTCCCATTTGCAGAGAGAACATTTATGGAACATTATTTTTAGAAGACAAGAGCAAGATCTCTGAGATAAACAGCATTACCTGAGCTTCAAGAAGCTATAAACAATTAAAAACTAACTCCTTGTGGCATCCATATCATATGGCCAGAAGATGCTCTCTGCAAAACAGGAATTTGCTAAGACACATACACTAGTTGGTCTTTTTATAGGCCAAGGGAAGCAGAACTCTTCCAGCCCATGCCTTGTAAAGAGCTCTCCTGACAAAAGGCAGGAGATGAGTCCCATGATAAAGATGCCAGCAGAAAGGTCAGGAAAGCTGTTCAAGAACTGGGTTTTGCCACAGGTCAAGTAACAGCAGGGGAGCAAGCTCCTGGAGCCTGTAAAATGGAAATGCTAACGCCACTTGGACCTTGTTTATCTGCAGGGGAAGGAGCTCGTATCTCCCCCGTGGGTTTGCATGTGGGGTTCTCCAAGCAGAAACCAAAGCCTCCTCTCCACTTCCAGCTTATTCAGCTGCATATATTCAACCACCCCGGGGTACAAATCTGGCTTCCTACCCCCAAAAACAGCTCCCCAGCGTAAGGCGCTGCTGCTGTGCGGGGAAAAATCTCATTATAGCTCCTACCCTCGTGCCAGCCCCGGATGAAGTTTCATCCACCCCAGGGAGCAGCAGGAATCGACTGCACACTGAAGAAGGCTTTAACTAAATGATTGAAGTAAAAAGGGGTCCTTAGTGCAGGATTAACTTTATGGAGGCTATAAAATAACTGAATATGGTCCCGTATTAATTGTTAAAAGAAAAGAAAGACGAAAAGGTATGGCATTAAACATCGATCTGCAGTGGGTTTCAAGTAGGTCTTCGTACGGGAGCTCTCCAGGGCTCAACAACAAGCGGTGTGGACCTGCTACAGCAATGTAAATGATTTCAGAAGGATTGCCCCCAATACATTAAATATTTAATGTTAACTGCTCCAAACCCATGCCATCATCCAGAGATTTTATTAGCCTCACGAATTTATGCAGGCTCCTTAAGATGATATTTTATTGCTTTCCTGACAAAATAATTAAAAAGAAAAACATTTAAAGGAGAACATTAAGCTGTGACTGGTGGTTTTTTTGCACAGCTCAAGGGATGGGGAGATGAGATAAATGTGATCTACAGCAGGTAAAAAGCTTGGATTTACAAGCCAAGCTGGGACCTTGGTGCCATTTAAAGCTGGGGGGACCTGCATTACCCCTCCTCAACTTGGTGACAAATTCCCACTCTTGCCTGGCTGACCAGCTGGATTCGCTCACCAATCCAGCTGAAAACCAGCGTTTGGCAAGGTTACTTTTCTCAGGGGTAGATGAGTGGTGTTTGGAAAGGAGGACAGCAGCAAGCGGATATACCCAGCAACAGCTTCCCCGCAAATAAAAAAATTCCGCTGAAAAATGCAGCCCTGGCTGCTCTGTGGCACTTCGCAGAATTGCACATGCAAGCAGCAGTATGTGAAAAAAACATACCAGAATTTGGAAAAAAGTCCAAAACAAGTTATGGCTTCCCCCCACTGCATTTCTCAGGCTGATGTTTCCTATTTCCCCCACGTATATTAAAAAAGACCTTACAGAAACCTTGTGAACCGGAAACAAAACCTGTTGTGCGGTCCAAATGATTTTGGAGGCTGTTTTTGATTCTCACAACAGTCACTGAAGTGTTTTTATTTGCGCTTGAATCAAAATAATTTGCTTTGGCTCTAACAAGAGGTCCAGATCTGAGCTCTGATGTTGCAGTGAGATTTCGATCTGTGCTTGCTTTCAGATTCTCCGGGACGTGCAGGAAAGCAGTGGGAGTCTGATCACACTCCCGGCACTAATACTGTCTTTATACAGGGCCTTAGAAAAAAAAAAAAAATCACTCTTTAAAAGGTTTTAGATGTCAAACAGGGCTGCATTTTGCCAGGTTTATGTTGCATTTCAATTCTACAAAGCATTTAAACATCTGGTTAAGTCCTGCTTCAGCCAGAGCTCAAGTCCAACAGAGGAACAGTTCCCAGCTCCCAAACTGGGGACCATGCAGTAGGTATTCCTCCAACTATGTCAGCAGCTCCTTAATATCAGAGAAGTACCTACTCCTCTGCCTTTAAAATGGTAAAAAAATTGTGGTGCAGGTGTGACTAAATGACTCAAGGGGTTTAAAGTGTTTAAAGATAGTACCATGAGATGTCCTCAGAAAAACCTGATTAACACAGATACCTACACAATGGGCTTTATGGAAGTACCATTTTTGGACCAGGATTGTAGGTACTGATGGCACTGGATCAAATGTGTGTATTATTTCACCTATTATTTATTAATAGTCTGGAACACTATTACTCAAATGACACTAAACTAGAAACTTTCCAACTGCAAGCAAAATTTCCTTAGTATAATAAAGAATAATTTTCAGCATAATGTGATTTTGTTGCTACTTATAGGGTACAATTAATGGCTAATACAATAAGAAATACATTAAATAGACCATTCTTATTGCATTAATGTTTGCATCGTGATGCAATTTGCACTGTATTAGTTCAATCACTGGCTCCACAGCTACATCTGCACATGTGTAATGATTCCTTTAAAATCTATTACAGCTTCAGAGGTAGCATGCATTGAAAAGACAGCTTGGCATCTTCTTCTCAAAGATGATGAATTTTAAATGAACTGGAGTAACAGTAATCAAAGTATTGACGAATTTAAATTTCCAAGGAAAACATACATAAAATTGGCTCTTTCCCACAGGAACAGAGTATTTCCAGCACAAAATTTCACTTCCGTGCAAACAGTATAAAAAAAAATTAATAAGTTACAGTTGTACAAACTGAAATAGATAGGACATATTTTCTGAGGGAGAAAATTATCTTTGACACCTTTGCAAAAATTTGGTAATTGGGACAAAAAGAATTTCCCCACAGCTGTGCCTGAACACAAAGCTCAGAGCAGCTGAGCCTCTGCATGCCTCAGGAGCTCACCCTGCTACAGACTCTGCTCCAGAATCCAGACCTGGATGATCTGATTCATTAACACACACACAAAACCAGAATTGAAACCCCACACATTTGTAACAGGCCAAGTAAAAGTCCTGTGCCTGCAGTGCACATTTTTCCCATTTCAAGTCGAACTCCTTTTGAGGCTATGGCATTGGCAGCCAACAGAAACCACCTTCCAACTTGACATGAACCAAAAGACGCTAATGCTGGTTCAATTCTTCCCCTTGCAGAGAGACACCATTTCAGGGCTTTTTCCCCAGATGCAGATATTTAAGAGAGCTCAGCATCCTCTGCAGGCAGCCGTTAAGAGGTGTGGAGGAGCAGGTCTCATCCCCTCTGTCCCTCCTGGGAGTACAGCCCTTGTCCTCTTTTGCATCATTTCTCATAAATACAGGATTTTTCTAAGCAAGGAACGCTATGGATTTCTGGAGCCTGAAGATCTGTTGACTTCACCTCCCGCCTCGTGAAGTGAGTCGAGGAAGCAAGGACAGATCTGTTAGCCTGTCTAGCGCACGGTCACGATGTACCTGATGTTTCCAAAGTCAAGGGATGAGGCCAGGACAAGGAAGAGCTCTCTACAAAGCTATCGAACCCCTGGCTTGTTTATGGTAACCGTTCCAGAGATATGGGCTGAGAATAATTAAAAAGACTTACACACTGGGCTGGTTTCAAACTCAAATCTTCGGCTGAAGCCTCCGTAGCCAGCAGCTGTCCGGGCTCGGATTTGGAAGATGTACGCTGAGCCTGGTTTCAAGCCATCTGCCGTAATAGTCGTCTCTTTGGATTTGATGATGGTGTAGCTTGTCTCCTGGTCCTTTTCCCAACCCCCCCAAAAACCACAAATTTCAAACACTGAAGTAATGGCTCTCAGAGAAAATAGATTTTTAACAACCCCCACAGCAACATTACAAAAGATGACTGAAATATGCATTTTTGAGGATCTTTTGCCCAAACCCCTGCCTCTGAAGGTCCCTTCTGCAGCACAAAATGTGAGATCTGATTTTCTGTTTTATAATCAATGACTCTAGGAGGTATGAAAAAGAGCAGAGGGACTTTCCACCCATAAATGACAATGCAGGGACCAAACTGGCATCTGCAGTAGGAGCAGCTTTCTATTGCTCGGGATGTACATGGCCCTGGGCAAGGGAAAGGTTCATCCTACGAAGATCAATCAAAGAGGAAAACAGTCCCATTGCCTTAGAAGCAGGATTTTAATTTATACCAAAATGACTTCCCAGTAATGTAACCAGGCCTAAAACAGAATAATATATTATACATTTTATAACTTTATGCTGGCATTTCTAGAAACATGAATTAGACCTTGGGAAAGGAATAATAAACCAAAACTACAGGAAAATACCTAATTTTGCATTGTTCTTCTGAAGCAGCAAACATGAAGAAGATTTGCTGAAATCAATCTTCATTTACATCAGTTTCTAATGCAAAAGAGTTTCAGTTCTTTGATTAAAATTTTGCTCAAATGCTTGTAATTACTCTTAGAATTATTTACTGTAACACATAATCTAGACAAGAGCTCATAAATTAAGGACTACAAACTTGGAAACTGCTTTTCATTCACCATATCCTCTCAGAACCAAATTATTATGAGGTAAACATGACTTCTTAGTAATTCCCTGCCAAGATTTCTGCATAGCTCTTAGGATCTGAACTGGTATTTCTTTTTTTTTTTAATTTAATGGGCAACTTTCCACAGACAGTAAGATACCTGGATAAGGGTCTGTGAATCTCCAAGTGTAGGATTACAGATTTTCTCATTGAAGGCTGTAGCTGCACAAGACTGTTTTGGAGAAACGTGTGTGTATATATGTGCGTGTGTGTGTATGTATATATATATGCACCTTTTTTTTTCTTGCTAAGGAGTGATTTTGCTTAAAGGAATGCGATCTGACAAAACTCAATTTTCCAAAACATTTAATATAGATCATTCTTATCCCTTGGAAATGAACGCTGCGAATTTATCCTTATAAAGGGCTGAAAACTGAGAGAATATAAATGACAGTAGCAACAAACAAGAAGGATTAAGGATGACATCCCAAATCTAACTCAATGACTAGTTAAAAAGCAGTAAGTGAATATTAGTTCACATCTTTGCTTGTATGTCAGCCCAATTAGGTTTTCAATACACTGTTGGCTTCTGCAAACATTTAAACACTTGAGCTTTCCTACAGAAAACACTAAGCGTTGCTATCGGCCTGAAAGAAAAAAATCACGACAGCATAAACTCAGACTGGCTGTAGCTACCTCCCTGTGAAGGACTTGCACTTGAAGAACTACTTACTGAAGCTATTTGAGATTTGTTCTGGACCACAAATACAACATTTTAACACTCCACTCCGATTTGTTTGAAAACAAAGTACAAGGAACAACTATATGGATTTTTTTGCTTTAATTATTTCTTCATTATCAAGGTTTCTAGAAGCTAATCTTCCCAGGCCATTCCACGGTAAGGATTCAATGCGCCACAAGAGACATTAAAACAAGTTAATAAAAGAATCAGTAATGGATTATTTTCAGCAATAGCATATCGTAATTCTTGCTTTGTGACTTAATCTTTTTGAAAACCTCAGCCCTATTCAAGCCACTCACCCATCTTGTGCCCTTGCCCAAGTTCCCCCATCTTCAAAAATAATGTTGATTTTATCCTGATGCGTAAGATTTTAGAAATCTTTTTCCCCTGTTTGCATGGGCTGCTTGAGCAGGTCCCTCCCACGGTCAGACAAGGAGGAGAGGAGGAGTAAGGACCCAGTCCTACTTTGTGTTGAGTGGCTTCACTTCGGTCATAGACAGAACTAATGGAAGGTCTTCCTTGAAACAGAAATTCAACCCCCCCAAAAAATGAATTGTGACTCAGTTTTCCTCTTCTTTTCATGTAGAAAGCCTGGCTGTTTCAGAAGAAAAAAGAACACCTCACAACCCCAGTTAAGGCAAGGAAATGCCTTGCAAAACTGATTTTTGGAAATCTACACTCAGCTGCATTGCTTAAAAGATGCTACTTAGACAACTTCATTTGCTACTCTTTTCTTTTAAAGTGCATTAATTTTGCAGGAGGAGAACACATTGCCATTTGAAATGGAGACTAGGAGAGGCAAGCGTTGTAGGAAGAGAGATTTTCCACTAGACTGAGAGCAAGGGCTGGAAAACCCAGGCAAGATTTTAAGCCAACAAGCCCTTCTTCATGTCAAAGCAGATACAATCCCTCTGCAAAACCTTTCTCCTCTCCTTACACCGCAGATGCAAAACCAAGTGAGAAACTGAAATACCAAAGGCAAGGGATAGCCTGATGTTTCTGGGAGCAGGAGATGCTCGATCCCCAACTCCTCCTATTTTTAACAAATAAGCAGGCTCTATCTTAACGTGATAAGGCTGGAGAGGAATCTGACACACAGATTTAACGTATTTGTTCAAGAGAAGTGGCACACTAATGGAAAACAACACCCTCATTTCAAGTCTTCCTAATAATTTACTGCAAAATCAATCTGACATTGATTTATGCATAAAACCGCTCCACTCCCTTCCATGACTCAAATAATTACAACTAAAAGAAGAGGACAGTAAAGAGAAGGTACTTGGGATGCTCAGCAATCAGTCCGTCACACCTTTTCAAAATATTTGATTTCGTATTCCAGGATGATGCCGTTGGGTCGATCTGGCTCCTGCCAGGAAAGGGAGATGCTATTTTTAGTTATCTTCCCTTTTTTCACACTACTGACTGGAGAAGGTGCTGCAAGACAGGAGAAAAACAGAACACACAAAAACCATGGTTAGTACGATGGTCTGCCCCTGCTGAAGTCAAACTTGTCATTGATCCTCCAATGCAAGGCGATCCTTAGCTACTGCAGATCAGCAGGGTCTGTTTTCACCTTGGTGGTATTTGCCCATTTTTAACTGGATTCGCACAGATTTTCAGCAGCTGAGGATCTGACCAGCATCGCCCACCCGAGAAAAGTAACAACATAAACTACCACCAGCAGCTTACACATCAATCTTGTCTTTTCAAGCACTTCTCAAACACACCAGCTGCATAACTTGCCTTTTCCCATGTGTCAGGGGGCCATGTTGTCACAACAGAATTACATAGTGATTACATGTTGCTTTCTTTCAGCTGCTTTGAAAGCACATATTTTACAGAAGACCTTAGGTTACATAGGCTCCTTAACTATTTATTTTTTGGCTTGTGCAGTAGTTAAAGTCTAGACATCCTTCAGCCCCCTCCTTCCAGAACCAAGGAAGAGGGTAGCAAGGTGTCCTGGTTTTGGCTGGGATAGAGCTTATTTTCTTCCTGGTAGCTGGTATAGTGCTGTGTGTTGGATTTGGGATGAAAATAATGTTGATAACATACTGGGTTTTTAGTTGTTGCTAAGCAGTCAAGGACTGTTCAGCTTCTCGTGTTGGCCTGCCAGTGAGAAGGTGTGGGAGCACGGGAAGCTGGGAGGGGACACAGCCAGGACAGCTGACCCCAGCTAGGGAAGGGATATTCCATACCATATGACATCATGCTCAGTATATAAACAGGGGCAGTTGGCTGGGGAGGCACCGTGGCTCGGGAACTATCTGGGCATCGGTCAGCGGGTGGTGAGCAATTGTGCTGTGCATCACTTGTTTTGTATATTCTTGTATCATTATTTATTGTTATTATTGTTATCTGTCCTATTAAACTGTATTTATCTCAACCCACAAATTGTATTTCTTTTTTTCTCGACTCTCTCCCCCATCCCACTGGGAGAGGAGGGTGAATGGGTGAACAGCTGTGTGGTTAAACTGCCTGCTGGGTTAAAATACAACAGTCCTTTTTGGTGCCCAATGTGGAACCCGCCAGGTTGAGATACCGACAAATCTGACCTGAGTGAATTAGACCAAATTTGTTATAAGCATTCATTATATTAATTTGATAGTTGCTGGTCACAATGTTGACTTATTTACTCGCAGAGTTGTTGTGGTTGTTCTCAGGGCTGTGTTATTATAACACCTGACTTGCGGTATATGTCCCCTGTTGTGCTGTTTATCATCTCTGGGAACTGGGTCAAGGTTGTAATTTTGCTATACTTTGTAACACTGGCTTATGATATGATAAAATCACCGGTCATGAAACTAATCTGGTATTTGTACTCAGCATTGCTGTCATCTCCATACTTCAGGAGCCATCTCTTGGAAAATATTAATAATTACACTTTTTACCTTTTCTCCTTGGAAAGCCAATCTATCTCCAAGGGCGGACACTTTCCCCCATCCCTTCACCTTCCCCTTGCTTCCCTCAAGTCACAATAGCTCTTGAGGATTTGGAATATCCTTGGGGTGTTCAAACCGGCATGTTTCTGTTGCTCCTACTGCTGAATGTGCTTCAGGTCTTGTTTAAAGTTAAAAAACTATTTAAGAAGATCACCCACCCAAGGCTGGATAGTTATGAGTGGCAGGGTGTGTGGGATAGTATGGCAAGTACCTAGGACACAAGGCCATTACAACCTTTACAATTTAATTGCTCTCCAAAAATATTGCTGGGGTGTCACCACTCACATAGGGATGCTAATTCCTTGAAAATGGCAACTGTAAGGATTTTAATGGTGATCACTGCTCTGAAGTTCACAGCATGCTTGGGCAAGTGGCAGAATGAAAGCAGCAATATCGGCTCTGCTTATTATTTTAAGATGCAGCCCTGAAAGGTTATCTGCCCTTTGCAGCACACATGTGCATCAGAAACAGGCTTGATCCTTTGTTTTCAGCCTGATATCTGCAGAGACTTTTCAAGTTATGGTTGTTACCACCCCTGGCAGCTCCCTAGCAAAAGTTGCTATGGGCAATGCAACCCTAACACCCCAGGTATTTCATGCCAGAGATTCGGAAACAACACTGAGTGAAAATAAAAGGAGACGGGAGAAATTTATAGTCTCTAATTTACAGGGCCAAGAGCAGCTTCTCCAGAGGAAAATTCAGCCCACACCTGGCCAAGGGCCTTCAACTCACCCTCTGGACAGGTCAGCTATCAGCAAGGATTACAGGGGGGCTGGGGAGACCCACAGCAAAGACCTTTGTGGCCATATGGGGGATTGAATGCAAAGAGCAGTAGCAAATGACCACATGTTATCTTCCAAAATATATTTGGAACTATACTAAAAAAAAGACTTTACCTATATGCAGGACTAGCTAATTATCATAATACTAAAAAAAAACCAACCCATGAAATAAAATAAAGACAACAAACTAATTAATTTTGCCAGGTCTGATCTTCAGCCAAAATGAGTAAGGGAAGAGCTCCAGACAATTATCCCTCGACTGAAGGGTAGCAGCAAGCCTTCTCTTTTAAAGCAAGCTCCTGCATCTCAGTCTCTTTTCAGACCCGGTTTTTCCCACTCCTGTTTACTGATCTCTCCCCTGCTTGGCTCTCGAAGGATCCTGAAAGGTGTTGGCCATTTTCATATTGTTTTCTGCTGGAGAGCTGGCATCAAGCTGCACAGGCAACGCTCGCTTTTTAGCTGTGCATCCACCACCGTGCTCACAACTGCTCTACTGAGCAAGTAAAAAACCACCTTGATTTGAATGATGATCATGTTATTTATGTAGGCACCGCACAGTGATCGCCAACAATTTTTCATCTGCAAAAGTCACCTTACCCTTGCCTGATGTCCTCCACTATTTTTTGGGCTACGTGAGGGCAAGTAACAACCTAGACTCAAGCTGCTAATCTAGTGTAGGACTTTCTGTTAATTAATTCAGGTGCCTAAATATGTGTTATGCATGCATGTGCACCGCAAGTTGAGTTGTGCATGTGAAATATACAGTCCACGCACATGTGTATGGTCAGATGTGTTAGCCCAGAGATGACACAGTGAGCAGCAAACTCCGTTCTAATGCAAAGGGAGCTACATGGTTTTCAGAGGCATCGGGAAACAAGTCGCACTGTGGGGTGGTGGTGCCAAATAACAGGCGATTATACAACCCTAGTTAAACAGATGATACTGATCACTTCTTACCATGAGCCACTTGGATGCTATATATAGGCGATGGAGACACCAAAGTACTAGAAAAAGGGACCTGTGCCCCTCTGGCATTGCTCTCCAATGTCCCCAAATCCCTGCAATGCCTCTCTCAGGCTTGCAGAGCTGGCAGCAGAGGTCTGGCAGGATGGAGAAATTCACAGCTGAGCATTAAACCTTTTAAAAGTCCTATTAGCAAACGCAAACTTGAGAAGGGCAGCAAGGGGGCCCCTCGGCCCTCCCTGGTATCGAACGCCTCTCAGGAAGGTGAAAACTGTGCAATTCTCAGTGTCAAGATCGCCTGACCAAATAATGGACTTTCATCCACTTCACTGAGGTCTCCTGAAGTGTTTATAGGACCGAGGCTCACAAGTGCTTTAAAAACAAGAGAACAATGCAAGTGCTCCTGAACTCTGCTGTAAAGTCCTTCCCTGGGAGGTTCAAGGGAGTTTAGCTTTCGTCCATGTGCATCAGCACAGTACACCACCAAATGCACCACTGGTCATCCAAAGGTGCTTGTCAAACTCTCTACTCCCCTAAAACAGAGCATCCTCTTTAAAAAGCAGTGAGTAAAAAGCTTTGCTAGTTAACAGCTTTATGGACTTAAATGCAAGACTCTAACACGTTCAATTGTGGCTCTGCAGAATGCTCTGCTCTACCAGGAAAGGGAGGGAAGATAAGAAAATGAGTAACCCAACTCTCAAAGTAAATTAGAAAAGGACTAGCTGTATCCTTTTTGAATCTCCTTCAAAAGAAGCGTTAAAGTGTAACCATGAGATAAAGGCCAATTAAATAAATTCAATAAATCCCAGCGGTGCTGGGATGATGCAGCAGCTACTCTGCATCCTCAACACATGGAGATTACAATGCTCTGAACTGAAGGAAGGAAGGTATAAGTATTTTAGAGTTTTCTTTGTCAAACAAAATGTAATCCAATCCAGGCAAGCAGACAAAGTCTGCAATCATTCCATCTTAAAAGCCTGCAACTGGATACTGTGCTATATGATCTCAGGAAAATAAAAGGATTACTTGAGACTTGCTTTTCAAAGGTCACTGCTTCTGCAAGGGCAGCATCTTCTTAACAGAAAGAAGCCAAGCCACCGAGCACTTCCATTTGGAGTACAACAGGTAAAAAAAAAAAATTCACGTACGAGTCAAGATATATAAAGCTGTAAGCTCCCGTGTTTCTTATGTAAGCAGGCAGAAGTCTTGTTCAAATCCCTGCCTTGACACTACAAAAGGTGGATGTACATCATGAATTGTTCACATGTTGCTTTACAAGTAATCTGCACATATGCATTAATTTCTCAGCAAGACACTCAAAATCAAAGAGGGATATTACATCATTTATGTTTATGCTCACAATTCATGAAAACAGTCATGCGTGTGATGAAAACAAACAGAAGATGTAACAAGGTGTGAAATTGCTAATGTACATTTTTGCTTTCATGAGACCAAAATTAATCAGGAAGCAAAGAAAAGCACAGAAAACTGATTCTACCTTTTTCTGTTCTGTTTCTAACATTTCTTAAAAAGAATAAAGGGACATACCAAATAAATAAATTAAAGTTTCTGCAGAAGATGCATCATTAGTCACATCTGAATAACTACGGGAGATGATTTCATGAGAAACAGACCTTTTAGGACATTCTTCCTCTGCAACCTTTGATAATGACATTAGCACTGAATTAGCCATCTAGGCACCAAACCCAGTATTTATAACATACTGTGCTGTGTCCCACTAACGTCTAAT